CAGCAGTAGAGATGCCACTTGAGGGGGATTTAGGTCTGGCTGGGTTAAGTGTGATTTTGGTGACATGCTTTTTCCTGGAATTTTAACATGGGTTAAGTTTTGGAAATTAAGTGGCTGTGGCGTGGAGTTTTGCATCTGGTGTTCGGGGGTGGTGGTCAGCCTTTCTTTCCAGTTTGTATTTTCTAAGCAGCTCTGTAGTGATAGACTAACCATACTCCACAGCTGTGCTTTAGAGCAAAGATGTGAAAAGGACTGCACACCATGACATCACAGCTCTGAATGTAAGCAGTGTGGCCAGTTTCATTATAGTAACATAATTGACTCTGGCTGCACTTAATAAAATGTGAATTAAAATTCTAACTGCATGGCTGTTGCTTGACATGGGTAGGGTTTCTTTAGTCCTTGTGAGTTTTCAGTATCATTAACTCAGTGTTTAGTGTTTGTTTTTGCCTCACTCTCAGCCTCTTCCAACTGTTTCAGTCAGAGCAAGTACATTTATCTCCTTATCTTCAAACCTGTACCTTTTCATGACCACCTCTAAGGTACTAGGAGGCTACATAGAACTTCCGACTCTTTTTATACAAGAACTTTTCCTCCTCCTTGTTTTAGAATTTAAAAATTGTTAACGAGATATGCTTCAGATAACAGATTTTCCATTGTTGTTCTTTTGAGATAGGGTCTCCTGTAGCAGCCAAGGCTGGCATAAAACCTTCTGTCTTTACCTCTCCAGTGTGAGATTACAAGTATTTGTGGTCAGGTTTTATTTGGTGCTAGGAATCGAACCCAAGGAGTCATGGAAAGAACTTTCCCAACTGAGTTACATTCCCACCCTGGTTGAATTTGTTGTTTTTTTGAGGTTAGGTCTTGCTGTACCCAGGTTGGAATCAGTCTTGTTCTGCCTCAGCCTCCTGAATCCTGAGACTGTGCCAGTTATCAGATGTTCTTTGGTGCTGGTGGTGGTGTGTATGTGCGCCTGAGTCACACTTTTCAAAGGATGACATTGTGGAGTCAGTTCTCTCTTTCCACGGTATATCTGTTCTGGGGATTGAGTTTAGGTCACCTCACTTGCTTACTAGCACCTTTATCCTCTGAACCATCTTGATGGTCCCAGAAACTCAGTTTTTGACATGTGATAAGGGACTTGGATGATGATGAAGAGACAGATAACATTTGACTATTGAAAAGCATTTTTATTTTTTGAATGGCAGTCTTCAAGGTCACCTGACATGTAAGAACATATATTCAGAGGTAGTGAATGCAATCCAGCCTTGACTACCCTCAGCACTTGGTGATATTTTGGTTCCCCTGATTCTGTGGTGGAAAGCTATACTGTATACTGAAGGATGTTTAACATCATCCTTGTCCAGACACAAGATGCCCATCGTATTCCTCTTCCTTTGTCTTTTTGTGACAACCAGAAATGTTCTTCAAGCTGCTCTGGTTGAGAACCACTGGTCTAGGTGTATAGTCTGAGAAACTTGCTATATTGGGAAAACCATGTTGAACTTTTGATCAACATCATTTCTGTTTTCTGTATTGCTGGAGATTGGATGTATGGCTATGAGTAAGCCAGGCGTTCCTTTACTGTTAGCATATCTCAAATTCTAAAACTTTCTTTTAGATTTTTGCAAACTATTTTTTCTCATGCCTCTGTATAATAAAAATCTTCACACATTAGCTTAAAAAGGAAGTTCCCTGATTTTTGAAAAATTGCTAATGACTGGCTGGAGTTTGAAATTCCCCATTTTTAATGAAAGCAAGTGACAAGGTTTGAGTCTGGAGAACAGGTACATAGAACTCTAAATGCAGAAGCACTGAGTGTCTGGCTGCATAGTATCAGTGGTCTATTTATACTGAGATCGATTCTTAAAGTGGTGTTTGTGCTTTTTGCTTCAGGTCAGGGTGATGGGTACCAGATTCTCAGGAAACTGTTGAAAGAGAAAGAATGTTCCTTCACAGATGGGGTCAAGTGTGGGTGCCTTTCTGAAGTTATCTGTTACTTTGATGTGAGTACTCTGTTTAAATACATGTGTTTTACCTTAAGTATCTACTTTTAGGAGAGGTCAATGCTGTCTTTGGGAAGGAACAACTTCTTTTTTAGAAGTCTCTTTGGAAGAGAGCTGAGAACAAGTGATCATCTTTTTTAGATGTAGGAATAGTCATTGAGAAGTAGGATGAGAAAAGCTGTGCATGAAATCTAAGAACAAGCCTGTATTTGTCACCGCCTTTGGCTCCAGGGTAAAAGTGCATTTGTTTCCGAGTACATGGAATTGCGTGTTCCTGAGAGCATTCATCCTGGCTGAGCTGTGAAAGAAACAGCTGTCTTTGGAGGACGGTCCCCTTCCTTGAGCTGGAAACATCAACTTGACCTTGTTTCTAGAAGCAGAAAAGATTATTATAGTGCTCATTCTGGCTCTGAGCCCTGTGGCAAGCCTGCTTTAAGCCAGCATCTGCTGTGAAATAGGAGCCCAGTACCCAAACTTTCTCCCTCAGGTGTATTCTGTGTTCGGATGGGATAATGAATATGAGTGTATTTACAGTATGTAGGAGCCCAGGGTCCCAACAGGCAGAATCAGAGTAGACTGAGAGGCAGTACAGTCATATTCCTAGAACTTAGAGCATCTATGACGGTTGTGACCCCTCCCCTCTTAGTGCTGCTAAGTTCTACTGGTTTGGTAAGATTTCGCTTTTTTGCTTTTTTTTTTTTTTTTTAAAAAAAAAAAAATGGCATTCAAGTTTTCTGAGCCATAGATGGACAAGTCCAATTAACTGTAGTGATAGACTGTTTCTGCAGGGCCTAAAGAGCCAGGGCAAGGTAGAAGTGTAACTTCTCCAGGGCCAGTTAGGTGTGAATATTACCAGAGATAGTCATTAGCCCAGCTGTTGGGTTTAACCACATACTTCACTACTGTGGCAAAGCTCATAGTCATGTGACCCAGACTCTCCAATAGTTTACTTATGGCCTGCTTTGTAGTTCATCTTTCTGAAGCTGGCTGAGAATTCTGTTAGGAAATAATCTTCAGTTATTGTGTGTTTGGATGTTCCTGAGCAAAGACTTGTTCCCAGCTAAAATTCTGCCTGTGAGGTGGCTTTTCCAATGGCTCCATCCTCCATGTTTGTGGAGGGAAGATGCCACTAGGGGGCATCTCCACCTAGTGGTTGTGGGCTCCCCTCTGTAGCCTCTTTCTCTAATTAGAGTTGTGCCTAATGATCAAAGGCGTGCTTCCATTTGCTTCACTGCCTTCTTTGAAGCTGGACACTGCTGGTGCTCTCCGAGTAATTGCTGGTGGGGCAGACCTGTTTCTCATCCTCCTTCAAGCACATTTCTTACGGCAGGTGTCTGATTCCTAATTAAGTGCTAATGAGCATGCCTAGTGGACTTTGATGCTGCTGGCAGCTTCTTCAGTTTTATGTCTGGCTGTTGCAGGGTCTTTAAAAGGTGACAGAGCAAGAATTTGTGTCTTTGGGATGACAGGAAGGTGATTTTACACATAAAGAAATTGTTGTTATGATCTGAGGTGGTGAGTAGTTAGTTTCCAAGAATATTATTAACGTTATCTGCTCCAACCTCATCCCCTTTTCCATTTTCCCTCTAATTAAAACCAAGATCTCTCTGGAAGAAGTAGAAGTTTTAAAAGGGAGACTCCTAAAGATTGTTTAAAGGGGCTAGAAATGATTGAAAATTTACTGAAGATCACATCAGGCACGGATTTCCAGTTTTTCTTTTAAAGGTGGAAGTTACTCAAGCTCTGCCCTGAAGAGTTAATGTATTCAGTACAGGAAGGGGTAATAAAACAGGTGATTGAATCTGTGAAAAGTGAACACAGATCAGATTTTTCTAACATAACACCTTAGAAATTGGGCTTTAATCGTTTTTACTGTCTCATCAAAAATGAGTTTTATGTTGGACAGCTAAGACAAGTCCAGATTTATGATTGAGGGCCATTTCTTGTATATTTGCTCATTTTAAGTGTAATATGTGAGAGCTGTGGTTTGGTTTCCTGTGAATGGATTTATAACTTCTGGAAGAGGTTCTAGTGGTGGAGGCAACATGAGTAGCAGAATTTGGAAATTGGGGGTCGGGGGGTACTTGGGTCACTTCAGATCCCTGTAGTCCATGGAAAATGCTTTCCTTTTCAAGGTTCCCAACCTCAGTCTCAGCGTTTTCATCTGGAACACAGAAAGAGGAGTGGGCTTCAGGGTGGGGCTTAGGAAAAAGGAATGGGTAAGCCATGCCTCCAGTCGTTCTTTCGGCTGTGAGCCTGCTTCCCAAGACCACCCCTCTATGTGGTAGTGGGGAGTTGCTGCAGGGCTTAGCAACTCTTCCTTTCAGCCCAGGAAGAACCCTAGCAAGTTCCCCAGTGCCATAGACCCTGGGTTGTTGCTGAGAATTTGGAATGTTTGAAAGGGCTTGAGGACACATCAGCATGCATCCAAGTGCCAGTTCTTCCTGCTTTCTGAGTTTTGTTCCTTAACCTATCTGGTTATGGCTTATTATATCATTGTGGTAGTTCATGACAAGGTAGAGCGAAATGCACTTACCTAAGTAGTGGTTAGTGTGTTGTGGGACACATGGCACATCCCCTGGTTCACTGCTGTCAAGTCAGGTTAAGTCTGTGGCCTCTTCATTCAGGGACATACTAGACTTCCTCTTGGAGTCATTTAGCTTTAGGTGAACTCCATGTGTAAATCTTAGTAGCTTAGCCTGACTTACCTTAATAATAAAGGGCTCCATTCTCCAGGTTGGTTATATCAGAAAGTGGCAGTGTAGATTTGAAGATTAGGTTTGGGGATAGGATGGGGTAAGTACTGAGGCCTTTTGATGAGCTAAAAGCACTAATCTCATTTTCCCCTTTCCTACCTCTGTCTCTTCTCCCTTGTCTGTGTCCAACTTCTGGTTTGTTTTTATATCTTACATGTCATGTCTACCTTTTCCCTGGATGCTTCCTCTATCTTCTTCCTCTTCTTCCTTCTCCTCCCCTCAACCTGCCCCCCAACAGCAGCAGCAGTTACAAGCTCAGCATCTCTCTCATGGCCATGGACCCCCCGTACCTCTCACGCCTCACCCTTCAGGACTTCAGCCTCCTGGCATCCCGCCCCTTGGGGGCAGTGCCAGCCTTCTCGCACTGTCTAGTGCTCTGAGTGGGCAGTCTCACTCAGCAATAAAAGATGACAGGAAGCACCATGATGCAGACCGCCACAGAGGTGAGAGGGCGGGCAAGCCAGAACAGGCTTTGCTCTCATACTCAGACATGCAGCAGAGCTGTGCCTCGCTGTGGAAAGCCCCAGCCCACACAGAGAGCAGACAGTGAGATAACAGGAGGGATCGCAAAGCTTTCCACCGACACACAGCTCACCCTGCAAGTTTGCAGGGTTTGTCATGGGCAGCTGTGGGTTTCTTGGGCTTGCTGGCCTACAGGCATCTTGACATCTTGGTAACTGCCTTGTTAATGCTAGTGGCCTGTACTGTATTATGGAGAACTGTTAACTGCTTAATTGGGTAATTTTCAAAGAAAGTAATGTTGTTAAATGGGGCGAAATAAGAAGTTAAATTTGAAAGTGAATGTGTTCAAATGAAAGGTTTGATAATTGCATCTGTTGCTACTTAGTTTTGTAGGCTTTAATTCTAGTATGCATTAAATATTGGACAAAATTGCACTTGACTAATTTTTTGAAGAAAAGTAATTTATTCTGTCAAGAAATTAAAAATAGGCTTTGTGTATGGTTAAACTGTAAATCTTATGTTTACAAAATACTGTAATTTTCAGGAAATCACTGTATTAGGAATGTGCAATGACTTATATAAATAAAAGCCATTTTTAAAACTGCCTGGGGCCTGTGTTCTAATTATTACCCCCTTTTTTTTGTATTTCTGTTTTTGCCTCTGTGTCTGAACGGGCGTGTCTGTGCATTTCTTGATAACCTCGGGAGCAGACAGAGAGCCAGGCACGGTAAGTACCCCACTGCCTGCTGCACACGAATACAGCCCCCAACGCTTACCCAGGCTGTCCTACAAACACAAGCACAAGTAGACAGACGTCCAGCCCAGTGTTCCTCGGTGACTTGGGTTTCTCCTTTTCTTTCTTCTTTTAAAATATGTTTTTCTGATGTGAATGCTCACTCTCCAGTCTTCTTTACAAACTTCCATTTGATGAGAGAGTGGTGCCTGATTTGGAAGTGAAGCTGTTTACTGTAATTCTACACTGCTCAGTATAGCCCAGAGCTACTGGAAAAGTGCTCATTCTGAGGCTTGGGTGTGTGTAGTTAAAAAGAATATTCATTTTGTCTTCTCTCAGCCTTACAGTTACTACCCATATATGAAATTGGTTTCTAATGTGGCATTTCCATTCAAACCATTTGTTATCCTCTGTGAATGTATCTTAGTTACTAGTTTTCCATATTTTTCTTTGCATATCTGTTCTTGAAGTGTGAACTTAATCTTAAGTTCTCTTTAGGCTGAAGACTGCATATATTAGTAAAAGGAGATTCAGAACAGGGTCATGTGTTCAGAGTCATCTTTTCACAAGCTTGTGTCATATTCATTTATGTGCTCAATGTTGGGACTGCACATGCATGTGCCATTTAATTGTGGGGAGACATGCATCAAAAATGCATCCTTCAAATGCTGTCAAACCAGAGTGAGAACATCTGATCCCTGTTTAGTGAGGGTAGCCCACATATTTTGTCTGTTTAGCTTTATTTATGAACATAGTTGATATTTTGATCATCATTGTGATCAACATGGTAAAAAACAATTGAGTCACTGATTTTTAATTATTCTCTCCTCTAACTTTTCCTTTCCTTTCTGTGCTTAGTATTTAATTTGATGTCTTATGCATGGAAGGGAGTTCTATATGAGTTATACTCCCAGGATCATTCTTGTGGCATGGTTTGACTAGGCTGGCTTCAATCTCAGCAAGAACCACCTGCCTCTGCCTCCCAAGTACTGGGATTAAAGGCATGCACTACCATGCCCTGCATGTGTGTATTTTTATAAGTGATTTTATTTAATTTTTTTTAAAGGTGCATTTTTTTCATTTATGTGTATGGATATGTCTGTCTGTGGATATGGGTATGCTCATGAGTTTGGTTATGTGCAGAGGCTTGTTACAGGCTGTTGAGCTGCAAGACCTCGGGTTCTAATAACCAAGCTCAGGTCCTCCAGAAGAGCAGCAAGCACTCTTGACTGTCTCTCCAGACTCTATTTTATTTAATTTTTAAATTTGCATTTATTTATTTTATATGTGCCGTGTTGCATATGTGGAGGTCAGAGGACAGCTTTCAGGAGTTGGTTCTCTCCCTTAACCATGTGGGTCCCAAGGATTGTGCTCAGGGCATCAGACTTGTTCGCAAGCGCCTTTACTCACTGAACCATCTCACAAGCCTCTGTGTGTGTGTGTGTGTGTGTGTGTGTGTGTGTGTGTGCATGTGTGTGTGTGTATGTGTGTGTGTGATATTTGTATGTTTGTATGTGAGACATACAAATATATATGTTTGTTGTGTAGCCCAGGCTTCTGGATGTTGGGCTTATAGGTATGTACTAGCATCATATATTTTTTGTTAATAGTTTAGGGAGAAAACTTTTCTCAATTTAAAAAGTTTAGGAGCTCCCCCCATCTTTCTGCATAGAATAGTTACTGCTTTCAACATTCTCTTTGAGGCAGGTGTTGGCGTGCTTTTTGTTGGAGATTTGTTTAGAGAGATGGATAATGATTAAAGGAAGATGGAGTTTTTAAATTCCTGTGGTGTTTCTAGAGTGTTGGGAGGAAGGAAGATAAACAAAAGAAGATAAAAGATTATAGCTAGGAAATAAAATATACAGGCAAAGTACAGATGTCGTTAAATTGGCTTTGATTTGTGCTTTGCTGTTTTCATTCCCTCTTGATCATTATCTTTTCCACCATGGTTGTTCAGTAGAGAGTCAGGTTTCAAAAACTGAACCTTGGACCAGAAAACATGGCAGCTGTGTGAAGGTCCATGCTGCATGTTTTCCATAGGAGTTTCTTTTACTTTTGGACTTTTTAAATTTAACAGATCTCAGATCCCTACTACTTTTTCATCTTATGTGAGTATCTCCAGTTAGTGCTTATTGTAGGGCAGTGTGGGCCATGTATCTACAGTTTGAAGTATACAACTATGTAGCAAAGACCACTTCTCAGAAAACCAAGGACAGCTCCCATGACAGATATGCTAAAAGACGCAAAGTTTCAGCACAAGTTCTGATAACATGGTTGAGTAATTGTTTCTTCAAACACTTGGCACAATGAGGTTTGCATGCTAAGTGGGGAGAAGTAATCACTTGCTGGTAATTCTGCCTGAAAAATGTATGCAAGTATTCAGTCTTCAGGGGAGGTGAGTGAGGCAGAAGGCGATAAGTTGCACACTCTTTTAAAATTAGTGTTTTTAAGGTAATATACAAAATAATGGGTTTCATTATGACTTTTTCATACTTATGTGTGTTCCCCCACCCACCACTCTCTTCTCCTCCATTCCTGTGGGTCCCTGTCCTCTCAACTAGTCCCCAGTTGCATCCTGAAGTAAAGGAATATGAAACAGCTCTTAAATTTCTTACAGCTCTGGATTGTTTCTAAACCTTTGTGGTACAATCAGTGAGCTTCCTGTAGAAATGCGATGACTGCGTTACATATACCAGTCTGCAAAATGACATGAACGTATTGACCGCTTATGTGCTGTTGACTTGTGTCCTTTTACCTGTCAGATTATTGACAAGCTTGTAAGTATTGTGTATATTGTCTTTCCTGCCTAATTCTGCAAAGTCTTGGGTGGTGAGATAAAATGGGAAAAGTAAACTAACTATAATCTAAACGTTTAATTTAGTCTGTAGAGGAGTTAAATTGTTCACTGTTCACCTAAGTGAGGTTTTTGCTGCAGTTTTGTAAAATCAAGTAGCTCTTGTACTTGGTGTAAAAAGAATACAAAGAGCTGGGCGTGGTGGTGCACACCTTTAATCCCAGCAGAGGCAAGTGGATCTCTGTGAGTTCAAGGCCAACCTGATCTACATAGTGACTTCCAGGCCAGCTGCGGCTACAGGGAGACACTCTCTCAAAAAGACCAAAAAAAAAAAAAAAAAAATACAAAGAGCAATGGGTAATGATGATGTGTTATATTCTTAGTGCCTAAAATACTGTAGTGTTCATGTGTTTGATAAAGTGGTTTGACTTGTGAAGCCTGATTTTACTTGATGGCTCTGCTCTGTTGCTATTGTCATGCACTGGAAAGGTGAAGTTTAGCTTCCCCAGGCTAGTGGTTTCAAACTGTAATCAGGTCTGCAGTGTCTGCTTTTCTCTATTAAAATTCCTGAGGAACATTTGACTTGTTTCTCTTGGTATGTACTTTGACATCTACAAAATTAAGATAAAACATTTATAAGATCATTTAGGTAAAGAGCTACTTAGTTGTGTTAATTATTTTTTAAAATATTTATTTTTATTTTATGTATATGAGTGTATTGCCTTTATGTATGTAAGTGCACCCATGTCATGCAGTGCCCACGGAGGACAGAGGGCGTGTTGGATCCCCTGGAAGTGGAGTTACAGACGGTTGTTAGCAGCCATACGGTTGCTGGGACTCGAACCCGAGTCCTCTTAGTGGCTGAGCCATCTCTCCAGCCCCTGTTAATTATGCTAACATTGATGAAAAGGCACTGTTTTCTAAAAAAACTTTAGTGGGGTGAATTGACCTTTTTTTTTTTTTTTCTCATATTTGCAAATATCTTTAATGCCTGGCTGAAATGAGCATTGCTAGTTTCTGATCAGCGTATGTATTGGTCTGCCATATGGTTGCTTTGGTTGTCACTTAGGAAGACATTTTGCCTAAAACTTTTATAAATGTCTCTGGGACTTTTCCTGGTTCTTGAACTAAACTCAGAGTTTCAGCTGTGAGAAACACTGATGCCTTGTTGTTAGTTTATTTTTTCTATATTAAATGCATTGCTTAAATCAAATGCAAAAATAATGTAGATCCAGAGGAAATGTGGTGTCTGGACTTGTAGCTGTAACTCAAAAACTGGCTGATAGGCACTTCACATTTACTTTTAGTGACAAAATTATTCAGTTTGCTAGTTTATGCTTTTAGGACAGGAAAACAAACCTTAATATAAACAAGTTTTAATGTAAAAACCTGGAAAATAAGAGTACCAAGAAGAATGAAAATATGTACACTTATGTTCTTGTTTCTCAATGGATGAAAAGTTAGTAAGCTTTAAAGCTTGTTTTACTTACTGGGCTTTTCTGCTTCATAGTTGTCATTGCATAGTTGTTTGCTTTGTTTTGTTTGTTTTGAGTTTGACTTCTAATTCTCAAAATCGGTTTCCTGTCTGCTTGCCTGCCCCCCCTCCTCTTCCTCTTCCTTCTCTTTCTCTTCCTTCTACTTTTTTAAAGCTGTTTGCTTATTTTGTATATGGATATATGTGGACACGGGCATGTCATAGTGCCACAGTATAAGTGTACAGCGCAGAGGACAACTTGGAAGAATTGGTTCTCTCCTTTCACCATGGATTCCAAGGACTGAACTCAAGTCACCAGGCTTGGTGGCTAGTGCCTTTACCTATAATTCCAGGACTCTGACACTGAGTAGAAAAATTTGGAGTTTTTGAGTTTAAAGTCTCTAGAAAATACCACCCAACCCCTCCCACAAGAAAACAGCATGTATTTAAATACTTTGATTTAACAAAAATTCGTTGAGCATTTAAAGTGCCAACTATTTGCAGTTGTTTCTTTAATATCCTACATAAGTATCTGTCGCATATAATAATAAATGCCTGATTCATATGATCCTACTTGGGAACAAGAGGGGATTCTGGGGAGACTCCTGTGCCAGGAATATATGGAATTTAGGTAGGGATATGCATGGGCTCTAAAATTAGTGCAGCACTGTAGGTTGGTTCCCTTGTATAATTTTGGGGAGAGGTCATAAGTCTGTATTTCTTAGA